ATTTATCGATTTTATGCTAATTTAGATAGTCATCGATAGTTTGAATACGACATTTTTGTCAAGCTCAAGCAAGAGGGAATTAATTGATATCAATCGATTTTAAGAAAATGGGAGAAATTATAGATTATTTGAAAGATATTTCAATCCTTTGTCTATATTCTCTGATATAAACCTATTCATACAGATAAAAACTTTCTTTTAATATGTGTAAAAATGTAATTGTGGTTTGAAAATATGTTCAATCTTAATCGATTGGATCCATTCATATATCCACCCATATATCAAGCACACCTATTCATTTAAAAATATGACTCAAAAGCTTTGGCACACTTAACTAGCTTGCACAGAATGGCCTCAAAAAATATGGGCAGCCGTTTTAGCTGTGGCGCCTCAATTCCTGAAAATATGCATTTGCAGGCCAATTAATAATAGTGACCTGCAGGCAGACGCGTCCAGGCGCAGGCGAGCCAAGCACTTGCTCTACATTTTGGCTGCCATCAGGTTGATGATGGTGGGAATGATGGGGATGGGGTTGAGGATGATGATGATGATGATATGGACGCTAATGTGGTGCGGCAGGCGCAGAGACTCTCACAAACTTTCGAGTTGCTTTGCCATGCAAAAATGCTTTAGCTATAGCTATACATATAAAGTCATCTATCTGCGTGTCAGGGTTGCAGAGATGAGAGGGGCAGCTGGCGGGCGTGGGGTTGTGGGGGCCATAATGTTGTCTGCCATGCACAAAATATCGGTTGCGAAAATTGCTTAAAAATGAACCAACTGCTGGCAGTTGATGGATGGGCTCGCAAAGTGGGACCACTTGCCGCTTTGGCCATGCCCCCATTGCCCTACGCCCAAACATCAGCTGCCAGGATGTGGTAGGCCAGACAGGAGAGTAGAGGTGCGGAGAGGAGAGGCTTGGCTGGGTTCAGGCTGCATAAAATTGTGTTTGTTTGAAGTGCATGCGATGCAGAAGAGATGATACTTTAAAAATTTCATATCTACTTTTAGTAGTTGCTGCTGCTGCTGTTGCTGCTTATTTCCATAGCGATTTCTCATGCATTTTTGCAGGGCACAAGCACACACACACAAATACACTTATAGTGATATGTGTACATACTCTAGCATGCTTGTCGTAGTTTATACGCGTACCAAAAGGAATGCGAAAAGCCGGAGAATGTGTCTGCTCAAGTTGAAATAGATTATATGGAGATAGGTATACGAGTAGCCTAGAGGTTGACTACAAACTCTTCATTTTAAAGCTATAAATTCTATATAATTTATTTTTAAAGTACTTGGCATACAGCTCTGAATATAAGTATCCGTACATAATGATTATTCAACTGCTTTCAGCAGCAACCACGAGTTTCTCAGGCAAAAGAATTAAATTTAAATATTAAAGATAAACTAACCATGGCAAAAAGTTTGGGTATTTGATAGTCACGCATTCCACACCTAAATGTTGTCTGCTTGCTTTTGGGGTTTTGATTTTTGTTTTTTTTTTTCAAGTGTGTTGTGCATTTTTACGAGCATTTTTAATAAATCATGCGCCACGTAAGCAGAGTTTCACACACAGCCGAAGCCCTGCAATCGTGTGTGTGCATGTGTGCGGGTGTATATTGGGGTCGGGCTTGGCTCCCCTTGCCGCTTGAGTGAGTGATTTGCATATGTTGCTGTTGATGCTGTTGCAGCTGCAAAAAATGGCCGAGCACACAAATCACATTGGGGCAATGGCTTGGCCACGCCCACAGCATGGCCTAGAGTCCGGCCAGCGCCCAACAGCAACAACCAAAAATGGTCGTTAGCCACGCTTTGCATGGGCACACGAACAAAATCTCCAATCCCCAACAGAAATGTTGTTCACAGCCGCGTCCGGACTCTTGTTGTTCGCGCTCATTGCGTTGGGTGAAAATTAATACACTTGCCAGCGCTGTTGGGATTGCAGCGTGATCTTGTTATTGTGCGCGTAACACACCCCAAACCAAACCATCCCAACCCATCGCACCAGCCCGCCACCAACATATTTACTCCTGTTATCATTGCTGTGGTTTTTGTTAGTGCAACAACAACAACAACAGCTGCGGGCTGCCCACAAAGTTTTCGAGAGTTTCCACTGCATGGCTTAATATGCAAAGTTATGAGCGAGCTGGCACGAGCTCTGGCTGCGGCTTCTGCTCCTCATGTCGGATATCGCCGCGCTGCAATGAGTACCGGCTAGCAGGCAGAAACCACACACCCAGCTCCAAACTCCCTTCAATTTTCAATTTTGTTCAGTTAGCGTTCAGTTAGTGTTCGGCTTTAAGGAATTAAAAATGATTGATATGGGTACAAGACTAAGAGAAGGACCTGAACTCCGGGTCTATTCGATTAGCACGCAATTATCGAATTGATTATAATTTTCAAAAAAGTTATAACGATATTTATAATTCATAAAACGTTGGGTATTTAACGTTAAGAAACGTGACTATTGCCAGAGCAACTATCGTATCACGCGCGCATCTCGAGTGGCGCAACGTCAAGTGCCAGTTAAGCGCATTAAATTGGCGTCCATTTTATAATTTTCGAATAACATAATTTTGCCATTATTAACAAGCACCACAAGCGCCAAAAGCCCTCAAAAGCGGTAAACAAGCGCCGTGCGCGCCACTTGTGCCACATTTTAAACAAATGTGCAGCAGACTTTCAGGCGGGCATAAAATACTGCCACAGATTTTCAGTGTTGGTAATTAAACAGAGCCTGGCAAAATATGTATAGCATATAGTACAGGGATAGCGAGCGAGCGAGAAAGAGAGAGAGATAAGTTTAACTTTATTGCATGGCTTGGGCAGCTTGTGCACCAGGGTTTTACGTGAAGGTTATCTGCCCTCCCTCTACCATTCCGCCCTTATCCAGCACACTTGTTACAACATTTCAATTAAAAGTTAAACTGCATGTAATTTTCCGAAAATGTGTAAGTAATAACGTGGCCCGCTGCGCTCTACTTGAGCCAAATTAATTTATAAAATAAAAAAAAGCACAAAGCCCCAAAAGCGTAAAAGATCAAAAAAGGTTAGCCCGAAAGGGTTACGGACCCAAAACTGAACTGGCCTGCCATTAATTAAAACAAACACACAGGAAGAAAAGAAAAAAAAAAACAAAAGCAGAAAAGTTCTAAAGCCAAAAGCTGCACAATTGGGATTTTGGGTAAAAGAGAGCAGCCAGCCCGGGATTTAGAGAGGTTTTCCGCTTTGGGTTTCCATGTTCAAAACTAAATTCAATTTGAGCGCAGACACCAAGTGAGTCTGCGATTGCCTTTGGCCAGTCTTAGGCTTTTTTGTGCGATTGACTTAATCATAAGCTGTTCCAGTCGTGGGAGGAGATCAAACAAGGGGAGAAAGTAATTTAAGGCAGCTTTTTGCACTTGCAAAGAGCCGGCAGCAATTTCAATTAGCCGCCCACGCACACGCCCTCCTCTTCACAGAGCACACAAATTGGCTTTAATTTAGCAATGAAAGCATTGCGACATAAAAGGTGATAATTGCTGGGCACAAAAATAGAAAATAAATGTAACAAATAAATTGCAACAACAAGTTTATTTAAATTTGCAAATTTTGCTGTGTGACAAAAATAAAAACCAAACAACAATCAGCAGAGGCAACAAACAAACAACAATAAAATTGTGAGCGGGCGGCGCAGCAGAAGTTTCTCACAAAAATCGACAATCGACAAACATTTTATGCAAATAACTCGGAAACTGCCAACACTGGCAACGGACTGGCTAGTGTGCAGAGTGTTCTATTTGACCTTCCGGTGGCAGAGATAGGGTCGAACTAAGTTCAAGCACCAGCTGTCTCTCTCGCACGCACACACAGCAGTGGTCGGTCATGCCCATGAATACCTAAACAGCTATCACATGTGTGGGACGTGGAGATCAGGGAGGGCAAAACGAAAAAGTAAATAAGTGGAACTGACAGCAAACAGGCAAATGAAATATGAAACAGAAAAGACCTAAAGAGAGAGAAAGTGAATCGAAAAGCGATTATGCGAAACAACTGTTAGGCTGAGCGCCAGTGTTGCCAATTTCAAGAAAAGGAGCTGAGAGCAATGTCAAAAATAGCTCAATTAGCTTTAATTGGTATTAAAATTGATGCTAATACTTGACAGATTGTGAGCTGCTGAAAAATAGTGTTAGTTAAAATGACAAGTTTAGCTAGAAAATAACAGCATGGGCAACACTGCTGCGCTCCGAACCCAAAAAACCCCTGGCTTGCTTGATAACAAAAGCCTTTTAGGCTGAAGCACAACACTAAATACGCAACCAAGAACAAGAAAAAATCAGCATTTAAATGGAACCTAAGTCTCAAAGTAAATATATAAATGTATATATGTAAATAGAAATCAGCACAGTAAAAAATGTTGTTGTATGCCCAATTCGTTTGAGATTTATCGCCCAGTTTTGGCAGCTGGCGTTGATAGAAATGTTTACAGTGCTCACTATGTAACTGTTAACAGAAGGAGATAATCATATATAAGAACAGTTAAGTTAAGAACAGTGTTGTATAAGAAGTCAGAGTATGAATAAAAGCTGCTGCAAATGCAGTATATAATTGTTTATTACAATAAAGTCTATTAAGGAAATTATCTAAACTGTAAACCAGATTTTTTAAGACATTTGCTTAGTTATTTTATTTTATTTATTTTATCTAATAGTTATAGTTATATTATTATTATGTCTTAGTTATAGTTATATTATTATTATGTCTTATACAGTTCTTCTTTTTAAATTTTTTAAACGTGTATAAATTAATATATGAATGGTCATAACCAGTGCTCACTGTATTTACTGAGATGTCATAACAGAGCTAATATTGCCGATCGCCCGTTTTGCTGCTACTTTGTTTATCAACTCGCGCTTCACTCAAGCGAACAACAACAACAAGAACAGCAACAAGAAGAAGAAGACAAACAACATCTCAACCTTCGCAGCTTCGATCGCAGCTTCGATACGTCCAAGTTTCAGTTTCAATTCGGCGGCCAAGCGGCAAACACAACTCGACTCGAATTCGAATTCACTTGAGACAGCGAAATTCTAGAGAGATGATGAGAACTTTGGCAGTGCTGGCGGCGCTGACCTGGCTGTGCCTGGCCAGCGTGAGGGCTGGCAAGGTGGGGCAGCAGCAGGTGGGGGGACCGCAGCGACACCTCGTCTGCTACTATGACTCGGCGAGTTTTGTCAAGGAAGGTAAGTTGTGGAGATAAAGTGAACACGATTGAAGGCAACGGCCAGACAGAGTGCTTACGTAATCCCCAGAGACACATACAGCGACACTTGATAATTTGACATAAATACTTATATATTCTACATAAGTATTTATGTCCAATATATACAATATATAAAGCCAAAGAAACTGAAATCTGTGTAAAAAGTGAGTGGCTTGGAAACAAAGTGCGGCTTATCAGCGACTTCTGGAATTGAGGTTGATTTGTTTGTTTTTGCCTCGAGTGCGACATGGCGATAACGTACAGACCTAACAATTAAATAATTCCCCGAATACACTGAGCGGACAAGTAGTAAGCGATCTTGATTTTATAAAAATAATAAATATACAATTTTACGGTATGTGAGCGTAGCGAGAATACTTTGAATTTAATTCAAAAATCATTCTTCAGCAAAGTTTTAAAGTAAACAAGTCTCTAACAAATACCCCCTATGTTTCTCTCAGTGTATAACAAGGCTTGTGCTCTCCTTCAGGTCTCGGCAAACTGGTGATTGATGACCTGGAGCCCGCTCTACAATTCTGCGACTATCTGATCTATGGCTATGCGGGCATTGAGCGTGACTCGCACAAGGCTGTCAGTCTCAACCAGCAGCTGGACTTGGATCTGGGCAAGGGTCTTTACCGTACGGTGACGCGTTTGAAGCGCAAGTATACCAATCTGCGTGTGCTGCTGAGTGTGGGTGGTGACAAAGACATAGAGACGAGCGAGGATGCCAAGGATTTGCCCAACAAGTATTTGGAGCTGCTCGAAAATCCAACGGGTCGCACACGCTTCGTGAACACCGTCTACTCGCTGGTGAAGACCTACGGCTTTGATGGCGTGGACATTGCCTGGCAGTTCCCCAAGAACAAGCCCAAGAAGGTGCACAGCGGTCTGGGCAGCCTGTGGAAGGGCTTCAAGAAGGTCTTTAGCGGCGACTCCATTGTGGATGAGCGCTCCGAGGAGCACAAGGAACAGTTCACAGCGCTGCTGCGCGATGTGAAGAACGCCTTCCGGCCGGACAATCTGTTGCTTTCCACAACGGTGCTGCCGAATGTGAACTCCTCACGTAGGTTGACACTTGCGATCTTTTTGGAAATTTGCTAATTTTTGTTTGCCTTTCGTTAGTTTTCTTTGATGTGCCCGCCGTGATCAACTATTTGGACTTTGTCAACCTCGCCGCCTTTGATTTCTTCACACCCCAGCGCAATCCCGAGGTGGCCGATTACACGGCGCCCATCTATGAGCTGAGCGAGCGCAATCCGGAGTTCAATGTGGACGCCCAGGTCAAGTTTTGGCTGCGTCACAGCTGTCCGGCGAGCAAGATCAATGTGGGTGTGGCTACATATGGTCGCCCCTGGAAACTGACTGATGATTCGGGCGACACAGGTGTGCCCCCTATTCAGAATGTGGTGGATGAGGCGCCCGTGGGCACTAACACACAACTACATGGCATCTACAGCTGGCCCGAGACCTGCGCCCTGCTACCCAACCAGAACAATGTCTACTCAAAGGGCGCAAATGCGCCGCTTAACCGGGTCACCGATCCTGCTAAGAGATTTGGTTCGTATGCTTATCGTGCCGCTGACAAAAAGGGTGAAAATGGCATCTGGGTGAGCTTTGAGGATCCGGACACCGCTGCCGACAAGGCTGGCTACGTCCGCAACAACAATTTGGGCGGCGTGGCCCTATACGATTTGTCCTATGATGACTTCCGAGGACTCTGCACCAACGACAAGTACCCCATACTGAGGGCCGTCAAATACCGTCTGTCCAATTAGACAATATGAAATCATAACAACATGTTTTGTAATTGAATATAGAAAGTAAATGTTTAATGTATCTAAAAATTCGCAAATTAATTAGCAGGTGTTTACAGAGCTATCGAAGAGGCTTAGACTAACCGAGTTTGAAACGAAAAAAAAGCCCACAAATCTTATAAATTAAAAGAAAAAGAGGTCGTCAAGTCTCAAGAACTATTTTGTGATCGAATATGTATAAATTATTTCATCTTTTTCTAGTTCTAGTTGTCCTATTTTTAGGACTCGTATAGGTTAAAAAACTAAGCTGCATTTTGGATATATGATTTGACCTTGCGGCATTTGCTCTTTGTGCTGTGATGGATGCTAAAATCCAATTGAATTTGACATAAAAGCGTAATCGGCTTTAACATTTAAGGAGAGCCAAAACAAGTAACGAGCCCCCCACGTCTTCCAAACACACTCACACGTACACACACATAAAGAGTGAGGATGCTTTGTAAATTGACTGCTCAACATTTGTCATTGGGGCGTAAGGCAGAAAATTTCGCATACGCAGCGTATTACAGAGCTCACAAAACACTCGACGCAACGAGGCAAAAATGCTCTGGCTTCATGTAATGCACGATTTCACAACAACAACAACAACAACAACAACAACAACAACAACAACAATATGAGCAGCAGCAAAAACAACAACAGCAGAAACGTAAAGTAAAAATGGAAAAGGCTCTCACAAAACGCACGCATAGGCAATCAGAATGGCATAAACCTAAAGCGCAAGAAATGAAATGAAACGTGCAATGTGTGTGCGTGTGTATCTGTATCTGTGTCAGTGTCTGTGTGGGGTATTAGAAACCATTTACCTATCCACACAGGCCCATTACACATGCACATAAGGATAAGAGACGACGACAGCCAAAACAATTTTTATAGGTAAACTTTACCTTTTTTTTTTTGAACAGGCTGCGTTGCGGGGGGAGGTTCAACAAAGTGCTGTGTGTGTGCGTGTGTGGTTGTGAGTGGTACTTGTTCCACTCGCGCACTCTCTCACTCTCAGAGTCTTTATGTGTTTGTGCCTCGCATAAAGCTCCCAGCTCTATGGTCTCAAATGTATATTTAAGGGACTGGCCAACGCGGCGTATGAGCGTTTTCGGCTCTAGCCGAGCACGCATATTGCGTATCCGCCACAGCGGCGCATACCCAAGTTATATTTTTTTGTACAAGTAATTGGATTACTATTTCTATGGCCACATACACACCACTCCGCTCGCACGATTTCTGGGATTTTTATGAAATTGTTGTTGTTGTTGTGAGTGCTTTGGGTTATTTGAGATTTCAGTGTGTTGTGTTCATGTGTGCACTTTTTGAATATTTGCCTGACTTTGGGCAAAAACTAACAACAAACGCGAACGGATTAGCTGGCTGCTCCAGCAGCATTTTCATTATTTTTAGTTAGGGACGGAAAGCGTCGACTGAATTTGTTTGCTTTTATTTGAGTTTTTTTTGTGCGCTTTTGCAATTTTTTGCCTTGGAGCTAATTTCAGCTGCAGCACTTGAAATGCTTCGCTTTGCATATTTTTCAACTCGCAATTTGTAGGCCATTTGTTGCGCCCAGAAGTATACTTTATAAAATGGGATACAGCAACAGCAGCAGCAGAAGGCAAACACACAAGACTGTTTAAAGAAATAAGTTTGTTGGGAGCAGAGAAATAAAGTAAACGGTGGCTTAGATACAGACTCAGCAGCTGCCGTCAACTAATTGAATTATAAGTTGATAGCAATCAGGTTTTAAAAAAGTGAAGCTCAATATTGGTCAAACAATTTTTGAAATTACAAATTTTTCTTACAATTCAGCAATCTTGACTTGATATAACCGTTAACAGAGAAAACTATCTGAAATTGAGGGATAATTCAAGACCCTTTGAAGCACATTTATACAGAAGAGAGAATATGTCGGGTTTTAATCCGATTTGATATCTGATAGCTTATATAAAATCTAAATGACATAAAAGAAACAAAAAGAATCAGGATTCATTTTATATACAAATTTCCAACATTATTATAATAAAAAATATCTTAATTTAATATGTCTGCAAGAACACATTCTACGCAACTCCTTAAAGGGGTTTCAAAGCCACCCACAGTCACCCATGGCTCATAAAAAAGTCTGTCAAAAAACATGTTAAAAGGATAAAAAGAAGAAGAAGAAGTGCACGTGTCAGGTGGCAGGCAACTGCGTGCCGTCAGGTAACTCAAAGTGTGGCAGGTAAAAGAATGGCAATAAAAATGTTATAGAAATCTGGAAAAAGTTCGTTCCAAGTTGCGAATTTGCCATAAAATGCTCGAGATCTGCGCACAAAAGAAGCGCTCCCATTGTTTAAATATTATTTACGGCATTAAAGTCGTCTCAACACGAGCCTCACAATTTGCCCAGAGTTTGATTTATTCTCAAGAAGCCGCCCCCTCTGGACTCAACCCTAAAGAGGGCAAACAAATTCGATGGCAAAAGTTGAGCATTTTGCCAATTGCCAATGATTGGAGGGGAACGTCAGAGGGGGAGGGCGGTTGGGCTGGGCAGCCAGGCGAATGGCAGCTGCCAAGTTTAATGCCAAATCCATTAGCCGTTAGCGCTGGCAGCGTCACTCACGTGTAATCAGGCAGCTGCCCCCCTGACACCACCCACACACTCTATAAGCATAAGCATATCTTGGATACCTTAATACACGCACACACGCACACACACAGACGCACACACAACCACACTTTAACTAGTAAGCTTTTCAAATATATCGATTCTAAAGCAACGCTTCGGGAACAACAAACAAAACTGACGCAACTTTTGCTGGCAGCTGGCCGAGCAAGGGACATTGCGGAGGGGCGAGCGGGGCTTCAGCTACTAACGAATATGTATTTTTGATACCACCTCGCCGCGCAAAACACCTCCAGCGATGTTTATTATTGTTGTTGCTGCTGCTGTTGCCATCGTTACAACTTTTTGGACACACAGCAAAAGTTGAGAGCCGGCTTTAAGGCTGTCAACAGCTGCCTAAAGGTAGCCCAACAACCAGGATATATGCTCCGTTTGCGCTTGGTTCAGGTTGCCAGTGCTTAGAAGTGCATGCGGGCTTTTTATGTATAGCTATCAAGAGTGCTCTAGCTGAGAGGGCCCGACTAGAAGGCGCTCTATAAGAAGCTTCATAACAGCCGAGAAAATTAAGCCCAAAACAACTTTTATACTTATTGTCTATAAGCCTTGCATTTACCATGGTTTCTATATGTTGTTCAATTGTTCAATCGTACTTAAAATCAAGATTATATATATTTAAAAAAATTAGAAACTTTTGGAAGAGAAGACAATGTGTGTCAACTATATGAAAATTTGGTGACTGCATCTATTTTAATATCCAAAATATTATAGAAAAAAACTAAGGCTTAAATTAAATATTTAGCGAATACCTGAATCATTGATAGCCGCAATATATTTGTCCCAACGCTGCAACATGCTGATTATGAACCCAACCGAACTTTGAACTCCATTTTGTTTAAGTAAAAAACGAACCTTAATCCAAGCTCATTGCCTAAAAAATAGCCAAACTAAATTTATTTAGTATTGGTTTGTTTGAGCAAGACAGACTTGAAGCTGGAATAACTTGGGCCCCAACCATTGGATTTATCGCATCACATTTGATAGCAGCCAATGTTATGTAGATATCTTATGTAGCCCGCGTTATCTCTATGAAAATAAGTTCGAATACTATATTTTCAGAAGAACGGGAAATTTTAAATAAAAAAAAGAGTTGATTCAGTAACAACAAAATGTGAAAATATTAAATAAAAAACTAAGCAAACCTTGACCACTTTATTGGGGTTTGCAGCTCTGCTTGATCTGCATATGGTATGCAAGAGCATATATACTAAGCTCTCTGAAATCACATTCAAACAGGCAACAGACCCGGGCAATACTCAATAGACCCTTTTTTAGCCCTTTTCCTATGGGTATAGGGTATAAAAAGGCTTTTCAATTGATGTCACAGCAGCGGCGGAAACTTTTTCACTGGCATTTATTGCATTTTGTCGCAGATGCGAGAAATTTTTCTTTCGATTTTGTTTCTGTTTCATAGATGCTTCTTGCGCCGCTCGCCTAGTTCTGGCAGCCATTATCATTGTCGTCGTCGACACACACACACACTCACACACACAGACAGCCATAGGCAACATTTATGGCTCATTCCCATTTCGTAGCCGGCAAATTGCCAATGTGGTGCTCAGGAAATGCTTTACTTGATTTAGCTGCTAAGTGCAGCTGCAGGCGGCAAGTGGCAACAGCGGCGGCAGCAGCAACAACATCCATGAAAATGTGTTCTGTTTCCCATACCCCAACCAGGCGATCCCTGTGCAACCAGTGTGGCACGGATTTTCGGCAACAATGTTCTCATAAATTCCCTTGGCGCTTGTAAAAACAATTATGCCAGATATTTACGCCGCAAAAGGCGACGGCGACTGCAACTGCAACAACAGTCACAGCAGCAGCAGCAGTCGAGAATTTGCTGTTAACAGTTTTGGCTTTTCATTGCAGTTAAGCGCTCTTTGACACCCTGATGCCTCACCAAACGACCAGCCGTTCTGCTGTAATTTGCGCATATTATTTCTGCCGGTTTAACGCGTCGTATGCGTGATATCACTTACATGCAGGCTATATGTATTTCTCACATTTAAGTACAAATGTTGTAATTAAGAATGAATGCGATTTGTTTAATTAAAATGTTCAGAGAACATTTAAACATTTGAACAACAACAAAATGTGTTCAAAAATGAGCAGAACGAGGCGTGATGAGGAAATATTCTCGTTTCAAGTGCGCAACAAAATACAGTTTTGGCCACTTGACAAATGTGGAGGGATATCAAAATTTGCAACATGCGGTAGAGTGGGTGTGTTCGAGTGTGTGGGAGTGTGCGGGTGTGGGGGTGTCAACAACTGAAATTGCATTTCGAGTGTTTGGCAAACCATTCAGAACACCCGCAATGCACGAACATTTTAGATTCACTTTAATCCTCGCCAAATATGTGAACAAGCCAGCATAATTGTCAGGCCTCAGCGCCTGCGGGCAGCTTCAACAGCTGTCAGACGTCAGATGCCAGCCAGGTATAAACAGGTAATACGAATTTATGCGAGTTTATGTTTAATGTGGGTCTTCGGGCTCTGAGTTTACTTAGGCACACACACAACCAACTTGGTTGTTTGCATTGAAACAACACAAGCGCCGCTAAAAGTTGGTTGTGGTGTTAAAATTTGAAAATCAACAAATTTTTCACACAACGTGAAATTTAATTTTAGAAAAAAATCGCACTTAGAGCACATGCATGAGACAAGCTGATCGGTAACATATAAATGTGATATGGTGTAGAAAAATGAGAACTAAATATAACTAGGTTTTGGTGCGAGTGCGAATTATAGTTATGGGATATTTCTCTGAATATGCAAAATACTGTAATTAATGTTATGATATCAGGAAATTAGATAATTTACTCATCATGTAAAGCTCTTTCTTCGGTTTTTGCAGAAAAAGTATTGGGATAGTATGCCTTACGACTGAGTGCTCAAAACAATTTCTTTTCTCTTGAATATTATAATGCTTCACAGAGATTTCATCTATATTACGATTTCCCGAAATTATTTACACATTTATCGAGTTTTCTTTCTTTTGCTTTCACTGAAATCGGATTACGTATTGAGACTGAATAGAGTTTTTAATTAAGGAATACTGTAAACGATTTTGCTTTCCCACAGTTATTAGCTGTTCGATTTTGCTTAAATATGCAATTTTCGCTCGAATTTGATTTTAGCAAGGATTTTTTTTTCTCTTTAAACTGTGGTGAGATGCATGGCAAAAGTTGAATAGAAAATCCCAAATGAACCTACGACACAACCATATCATAACCAACAGCCCTGGCTGATTGTGTGTGTGTCTGTGTGTGTTTGCATTGATGGCCACATTCACTTCACGGCAAACATTCACATTCCGCCGTAGTCACGTTCGAGCGCTTTAAGCGGCTTCATGTATTCCGTTGTGTGCGCGAATTCTGCAAAACGGAATTTTGGTATACCGTGCAAAGGTTGGGGTTAGTTCGGCTAACCCAACTATGGCTAAACCAAATACACACACACCCACACACACAGACGGCAGGATAATGGCATGTGCTTAAATAAATACGCGCCACGCCACAGAAAGCGCCCAAAACTGAACCCAACGCCCACATTTGAACTGTTTGAAAATTTCAATGTGGTCGCTGTTTGGCGGTAAATGGTGTAATGTATATATATAATTTGCCAGAATGGGGCGTATACTTAATAAGCTTGGACTTACGTTATGGCGCCTCTTCTCACGTTCCGGCACCGCATGCCAACTGAACTGTAAATTCCAATCGAAGCCGCCCACATTGACTCCACTGGAGTCGCGATAGTGAAACTCCAGAGTCGTATCATCGATAACGTCAATAACGGGACAGACGACTGTGGTCGAGTTGCGGGCTATGCGATCCAAAAGCGGCTCCAACCAACCTGTGAACAAAGCGACAGAGAGATTGAGAGGACATTAGTTCTGGATTTGTCAAGTAAGAATGCTGGCAGGGTAAATAAGTGATAAGATATATGGAATGGCAACAATGACAAGAATATGTAAGTAAAATGAGAGATTATTATGGAATAGAAAAACTATTATTAATTAAATGAAAAATTGCAAGTTTTACTTATGGCATGATTAAAGGGAAAGAAAGCATAAAGTAAGAGTACTATTAAAAAGTAGCTAAACGATTAAATATAAGAATGAAAAAAATGTAGAATATTATTAATTAATTATTATTAATTAAATGAAAAATTGCAAGTTTTACTTATGGCATGATTAAAGGGAAAGAAAGCATAAAGTAAGAGTACTATTAAAAAGTAGCTAAACGATTAAATATAAGAATGAAAAAAATGTAGAATATTATACAGATCAAATGATCTTTAAAGCAGATCAAATGATCTGTATAATATTATACATATTTTTCATTCTTAAAATCAAAATTGATTGTTGCAAAGTAAAATTGGAAGGTGTATGTAAAGTAATATAAAGAATTGTTCGATATAATAAAGAATACTAAATACTCTGCTTTTTAAATTAAATTTAATTATAAATATGCTTGTACCCTTGTATTGAAAGTATATATATTCTACCCGTTCATGGTGCAGTTTTTATACAAAAACTGAATTTCCAACTCATTGTTGGATATTCGATATGTGATACTTCGACTTTAAAGCAAACAAGTAAATAATTATTTCCTTACAAAACTGTTGTTCGGGCTAGCCTTTTACAGTATATTATAGCAACTACGTGAATGCCGTGGTTTGTAGCTTGGTTTAATTGCTTTTGCTAGCACTGTTCGTGTCCGGCTCATTCGCCTGGCCATGTCATTCATCACCAGCATTGACGACAACGATGACAGCGCCAACATCAAGTGAAAAGACCAAAAATTGTTTTCTTTTAGCGCACAACTTTCGCACAAGCACACACATTCAGAACAATGTTGTGCACGTTCTTTGAGACGAAAGTTTTTCTCCATGATATTTTTTGAAGTAAGTTTTTTCAATAGTATTTTCTCTATCTTTCTCTCTCACTCTTTCTCCCCATTGGTTTCATCGATTTGGTGTGCAATAAACAAAATTGATTGTGTGTCGGCCCTTCCATCATTTTCCCTTAGCCAAAATGAAATTTTTGGGCCAAAAGAGACGAGTACAAAGCAATCAGCGCTATCAACGCTCGAGTGCCGGAGCCAACAAAACTGAAGATTAAGTGATTTACTAGTTGGCTTTGTTTTATTGCCAACATTGTTGTTGGCCGAAACGAATCTCATCTTTGGGCTATCAAAAGTAACAACAAAATTGATGGCACGCTGAGGATTTGCGAAATGCGCCTAAAGCGACCCACCCAAAAATTGGTTACAATTTAATTTTTGCTTTTTTTTTTGCTTTTTTGCTCTTGTGGAGTCAAACTGAATATTTGAAATGTGTGTTCGCAATTTGTGGTCTATTTAAATAATTAATTTACGGTTAATTTGGCCAGACCAATGAAAACAATGCCAACAATTTATCAGTCAATTACAAACATTGTAAATTGCCTTAGCAATTTGCAACAATTTCTAAATGTTGCATTAAACATGAACTAAGGGGGAGAAAACAATTGCATACTTTTGGGCAGCGAGAACTAATTAAGCGAGACAGGAGGAAATATTTGGCCAAGGAATGCCGAAGTTTAAATACCCTAGACATATTTAGTCCATATCAAAAAAAACTGTTTCTTTGGTTGATGGGTTTTATAAAAGTTTTATGATATAGTTGTCCCATGGTAAGCTTTGGCAAAAGTAACAATAACAGTTAACAATTAATATGCAAAATTCCTAAAAATTAAAAAAAAACATGGTATTTAACCACTTCCGTACTTACCCTCAGCGCACTCGCAATGCGAGTCCAGGTAGGTAATGACAGGTGATTTGGCATATTTGGCGCCCAGGAGGCGAGCGCGAATCAAGCCCTCGCGTTGCGGTCCACGCACAATCTGCACCATGGGATAGGAGGCGAAATAATCCTCCAACTGTTTCTTGAGATGTGCTGCAAAGTGCAAAAACCGGTGATTACCATTAATATAAATTAAATATCTCCCTCACAAAACAACAATTAACTCACGCATATCACTGTAGTCATCCACCAGGATAATCTGACCAATCAGCTCGGGTGGCGAGCGATCCAGCACGGAATGCACCGTGCGCAACAGCACGGACCAGGCCTCATTGTGGAAGCAAATGATGACATCGGTCTTGGGCAGATTGCTTAGATATCGTGCCGAATCCTTACACCAGGCATCGCGCGGATCTGGTAGCGAACGATGCACGGATATCAAATCGGAGACATATTGATTGAAGGCGTTCTTTGTCCAGCCATCGTCGACGGCCTTTTTCATATCTATCGGCATATCCTTGGGCAGAATCACAGGTTTGCCTAGCTCACCGGGACTATCATTAAGATTAGCTACTGGCGCATCCAAAACGCTTTTATCTAAGGACACAGAGAGAGAGAGGGAGGGAAAGAAAGATAAGTGTCGGGTTAAGGTTGTTGCTTGATTTGGCTTAAAATTGCCAGGCCTTATGTTAAATGGGCTCTGGCTTGGGTAGATCGAAAGGAAGCTGCTGCTGCTGCTTTGTTGTGCATGAAATTTACGACTGGCACAGCATGTGACACTCGGCGATGATAAATCGCAATGCATTTGACATGAAAAGTTGTCATCATCAGCGTCGTGCATGAAAAATGCTTCGGTTTGCAAATTTCTCAGCAAAGGGCACAGTGGGACAAGTATTATTTGATAAAGAACAAGCTTCTACTACAATCAAAAATCTTACAAATACACAGTTATTGAACACTTAAGAACATGTTACTTTTTGAGTAATTGAAGAAAAGTGATTATATTTAATGTGTAGGCCTTTACTTTATATATTTCAAACAAATTTTTTTATCAAGTGCATATAGAGAAAATTTAATTATAATCTGTACAAAAGTGAGATTAAGATTTAAGTTGAAAGTGAAATGTAAATCTTGTTCTTCATTAATTATGACTTTATTCGTACTCAAAGCGATAGCTCTAAATTTATTTAATGTTTTCTATATATTATGCAAATATTTTGCATATTATCTGATGCTAGGCAAAATAAAAACAATACTCTTCAAAGCAAAACTTTTTCAACAAAAAAAATATGTAAACTATTAATATCACTGATTTAATTTTATATCTTCGCGTTTTGGTAGCTCTTGTAGCAGTGTGCAACGGTGCGTATGCGTGTTCTCTGTGGCATCTTGCACACACTCGATGGGTTCTTCTGCTGCTTGGCGTGTGTGGGTTTGCGTGTGCTTGTCTGTTGCTGTGTGTATTGGTGTGCTCACTGTGTGTGCATTATATTATCTTGTTATTTGCATTTGCATGGAAATATGATTCTGTTCCGGCTGCCAGTTGCTGCTTTTTATGAGATTTGTCAGCCAGAGGTGACACTTATTGGCGCTGTTCGTGTGCGAGTATGTGAGTGTGTGTGTGCTAGTGTGTGTGTGCGAGAGTGTCGCACAGTGAAAAACATTTCAATTACCACAATCATTTCAATAAACATAAAAAGCTGTCTGCAAAATAAAAAGCGATAAAAGCAAAGCCCATCCTAAGTCCCAGTCCCAATCCCAGACCAAGTTAGCCACATTATGATGTGGCAGTAGAGACTGTCGGTAAGAACCCGGAGAAAAACCAAGAGGCCAATCAGGCGACGATAAATTTTTGGACTCACAACAAAAGCCATTAAAGCAGAAACTGGTCATAGAAGCGGAGCCTAAAAAAAAGCAGGGAGGGGGATTCGCACATAAATTTTATGATTTGTCGTAGTTACAACTTCATTGCGGGATATGCACGCGTGTGCTAGGCGGCCTGAGGGGGCAGCGGAGGCCAACGTTTGGGCCAAGAAAACCCTAGCAAGGACTAAGCGACACACTCAACTGTTATTTGTTGTAATGAACATTTTTGCATGCTGTGCGCGTGCACACACACGCATCATAAAAATAAAAACAATAAAAAAAAGGAAACGCAAAGGGAAGTTGCAGGCGGTGCAGTTGGAGGAACTGGAGCCAGGCTCTATGGGTTTTAATGTGTTTTATTGATTCACTTATTTATAGCGCAGCATGGAATGTTAAAGCACGAACTCCAACGGCGCGCCGCTATTCAAATGTAGCCACCTGAGCACAATCCAATTATAGCATAGCGAAATATAGAAACTCTACCGAAATGATATAAAAACCATTTCAGATTGTACAGTGAGCGGTCGCGCTTGACGAAAAGATCAGTAATAGACAATTATAAAAGGCACTTTACTGCAAGATTTTCAATAACAACTATCGGCAGATTTTTATAAAGACATTCGCACTTTAAGGCTGGAATTTCCATAAAATCAAAATATACTTTAATTTTATTCATCCTTCACATTGGTCACATGTAGCGAGCGTTCACTGTACAGACAATCAAGTTGCGGCAGCGGCGGCGTATGCGTTATCCATCTATATAATTTTCATATCTATCGGCAGTTTATGGACACAACCAGAAGTCGAATAGGGAAATGAGAGGAAGAGAATGGTTAGGATACAGGGGAGGCGCTCCAGGGACACGCCTGAGCGTGACAGGAAGCTATAAAGCGTCCGTTATGCGAGCTGCATGAGACAAAAAGAGGGAGCGTCTGTGAGTGGAGCTGTGGCAATGTGGCAATGTGTGCCACAGACAAATGCCTGGGAGGCGCTCCACCAACAACTGCCTGAACAAGCTGGCCCGGCATGTGCCGGCATAAAGCATAAAAGGAACATAATATGCCAAAGTAGCGTTATTTGCGAAATGTATAGCTGCGGATAGGTGGGCAAGTGGGCAAGTGGGCAACTGGGTTGCCCTAGGGACTCTAAATAAGGACAATAGACGCACACATACGCACACCCAGAGACGCACTCAAATCAGCGTTATGTTATTAACATGGCAGGGGATAAGCATTGATTAAAAACGGGGGGAACAACTGGACGCAGGCAATCAATCTGCTGTGGAAGCAGCTGTTCCCAGAGGCATTTCGCTTGTGTCTTCAGAGCGGGAATGGGCGTGGCATTTGCATTGTATGTACAAAATCATTATCGCTGCTAAATTGTAAGAAAAAAAAATAAGTACAAGAGGACAGACGACCAGGCCCGGCA